AACATAGATATTCTCTTCTCTCATCAGTTTGCTGAACCATTTTATTCAGATCTTATAATTATCTGTAGCTGAAGTCTGTTATTAACTATTGACACATTTGTCTGGTCTGGCAAGCCACACACAGAAACATCGGTATGTAGGGTGTGTTTGTCTAGCTGTAGGTTTTTCCCCATGCTGAGTGTAAGTGCCCAGCTCATCCTTACTACGCCTACAGTACACGCTGGGAAGCTTTTTGTTTGTCCGTGTGTTTGTGCATAGTTGGCGTTTTACCGAGGATATCATCCTGCGGCCAGTCTGCCAAAGTGCTGAAAAGGCTGTTTTCTTCTCTTTCCAGTACGTGTCGAAGGGAAAGCAACTGTCTCAATTCCAGATAAAGTGTACTCGTTTTTAGTTCTTTTCTTTTAAGTCGCTGCTCAAGTCGCTCGCCAAAACACTGTGTGCTTGTCTGGTGGGAAGTTGTCAAGTTACGTTTGTTCAAGATTTTGAAATTCCAACCCTAGACCTCTGCTTGGCCGTTCCCACTTCACTCGGAGATTTATGCCCCTTCTGCTGATCTCGTGTGGATACATTCTGTCAATGTATGACCTCCTTTCCCAAGTAGTCCAGCCTTCCCCCTTATCTGAGCAGTGGGCTGCACTGGCCTGAAAGAGGCAATAAGCATTCATTGAAAGTGGGGGTCGACTTAGATTTGAAGACCAGAAAGCGATGTGTTCTCAAAGTTGGGTATTGTTTTTAAATTAGAGGAGGAGTCCTCTACAGTGGGTGCTTAAATTATGGGGCCTCGGGTTTTATTAGTAGACTTATAATTTTTGTGTCAGTTGTTGACCAGTTGCTAAGTGAAATTGGACATAAAGATTGTACTACATCAAAAACCTCTGTGCAATTGCTTTGGTTACTAGCAGATTGCCATGGGCGTCCATAGTTTGCATGGAAGGACTGACTTGTCTGCAAACACTTACCAACTGCTCACCAAATGGTCATGAAGCTGTAAATGTGCGATGTAAACTGGAAATGGAAACCCTTGGCCTTTCTAAGTAAAAATTGTGCCTTAACACTGCAGTCGATACATCTCAAAGGTCACAGCTATCCATATACCTCTTTGCGACCAGTTTCACCTATCAACTGGCATCAATCACTGGTGAGCAGGCTGGGAGGGACATTGATCCAAAGCGATCTGTTGTTATTGGGTGGGCTACACTGACAGTTACAATAAGTTGTTTGCAAAGTTTTTTTGGCTTATGTTGACGTTATGTTGTATGTGTTTTTGTTTTTTTGGTTTTTTTGATGCAACCTACAGTGAAAGTTGAGTACACTGCATAATGCGAACATTAGCAAAGTAATGTTGATGAACCCAAATATTTTCTTTTGATGAAGCACTTGGCAACATTATGTCCATATTTCTGTATGGACATATTGCAAATCAATTTCCCATTAGGGACAATAAAGTTACCATTGACCAACAGTGGGGATGCTGCTTAGCAATGAAAACCAGGCACAGCCTCTACCAAAACGGTAACAATCTGGCTTCAAAATAAATAAATCCTAAATATTTAGCCAGTGGTTGCTACTAACAACACAACAAGAATTTCTCATTGTGGCAAGCACCGCACCGACTCCCTCATATTCCAAAATGGGGAAAAAGTCTCCAAGTCTAACGCATTCTTGACTGAATGTGGATGACGCTGATGATGTTGGCAGTAGCTCCAATTTATGACCTAAATCCCTGCACTAGTCATAGATGGGTGACTCCTCTGGGTGTGGGAAGAACTACAGGGTTAAAAAAGAGAGGGGAAAAAAATAAAAGGATGCCAAAAAAAGAGGACTTCAAGGTGACAAATGAAAAGAGCAGTTCAATAAAAGCAGACAACGAAGTGGGGGGCACTTTAAAGTCCTAAAAGCCCTTAGATGATGGAGAAGCCAAACACCAACTGCTCAGTGTTTTGGGAAAACAGCCGTAGGCCTGAGACATATGAGTGGCAGTGGTTGAGAGCACATGTGAATCATGCACCTTTCAGTTTGGCAAGACGTTTTCCACCCAGCAGATGGACCATTGGGATCGAGTAAACACCTTTTTAGTGCCAGTTGAAAAGTCAGGGAAAGCGTTTCACCGCTCAGTCGAAGGAAGAGATGGGCTGTTAAGTCGCAGTTGCTCAGATTTGGGTTCCCTGCTGGGTGAGTCTGATGGGGTGAAGCCAGAATGCACTGTCATACTTAGACCTTTTTGTCAGATCCATTTAATGTTCTTTGGGCAGTGGATTAGCAATGTGATATTCACGGGGTGCTCCTGCTCGCTGTGTGGAAGTTTGCTAAACAAGGTGGGTTCAGATTTACCCTTCTGTCAACACTTGTGTTACATCAGGGCTCCTCACTGATGCAGCAGGGCTTGTACAGGATGGAGATGAACTGTTACGCTGCTTCTAACCTCCTGCCCCTGCCAGCTGCGATGAAGTTTGTCCGAACGCTGTTCTCTGATATGGGGAGTATGTACAGCCAAGAACAGATGCTTTCCCAGTTTAGCTGCTGCATTTCAACAACTGTTCTCTTTCCAGTTTCAAGTGAACTTTTCATGTTTTGTCTACTTCCTCATAGAAACTTATGACAGTGTGCAACGCCTATGACTTCAGTTTTCTTTAGAATCAGTGGTGAAATGTGAGCAAAGCTGTTTTCGAAGTAAAACCAGGTCTAGATTGACTGAGCCCATCCCTCGTCCTCCTTCTCCCCTCTTTCTGCCTTGTTCCATCTCAGCCGATCACTGAGCTCCATCACATCCCCTGCAAATGGAAGCCAAATGGGCTGATTCGATTTTGGCCCAGTTGCTTTCAGATGATCATGATATATGACAATTTGGGAGTTATCTCTGAGCTGCATGTGGAGTCAAAGCTATTGGCTCAAATCCCATCATAATGGGGCTCTTATCCACTAAATTGTGCATTGGTTTGTTCGCAGCACAGGGAAGATATTGTCACTACAGTTCGTTTTTATGTCAAGAGCCTCTTGTATCCTGGCAGCTTGTCTCAGGTTAAAAAAGATGACTGTAATCAGCACTCTGTCATATCTCTTAATTCAAATAGACACAACAGGGCACTGGAACAGAACGGACGCTCCTTCTTTGCATGGGAAGTCTCTTAGGGAGCAATTATGCAAGAATATCTTTGGCTCTTATAAAATATTGATTGCTCCTTTTTTTTTTCTGCAATTTTGAACAATCCGCTTTTTTAATACCCCTGCATGTCCTGCAGGAACCTGCTATGCGTCAGTCTTAATAGATATTCGAATTTGTTGCCAGTTCTCAGGCGAATATCTCATTAGTGTCATAGTTTAAAATTAGATTTGATGTTACCCAGAGAGAGGGAAAAAGAGAGATGTTGTTGGCGTGATTGTGCTGTGCTGAGCCACATATAAGCCATCCTGAGTGTTACTAATTCCCTCAACTCTGGGATGAATGATACTTGAGGGCTAAGTCTGTACATACAGTGGAGCAGTGCAGAATAAAGAGACAAAGCTCAGTCCAGCCTCAGATCACTGTGGCATGAAAGGAATCCTCTGTTGGCGCTGGTTTCTGACTCCTTCCCCTCCACGAGAGACCACCGTTTTCCTGGTCTGGCCTCTGCAGACATTGCGGCCTTTCATCTCCCATTGCAACAGCAGCAGCTGCTCCTGGGCTCCTTTTGGCTTGATGGGAGGCGTTCAATGTTTGGTTGTGTAGTGAGTACTTGTGAGGTTATAGCCGTGTGGATAAACATTAAAGGCCACAAAACAAACACCAAAAAATACACAAATGTGTCATAGACAAGCACAGATTATATTAAGGTTTGTGAAGCCCTGTTTGAAGCACCATTGTTAGACGCAGCTACCTTCTACATAGTGCTAAGTAACAATCAAGTAAAACACTAGAACTGGACTTGCAAAAACTGGAACAAATGCTTTTATGGATGAGCTGTTAAGCAAACCTTGTTATTTGTTAGATCACTGCATTATCAGTGATCACAAACACAGTAAAAGGCGACTTAGCCCTGTTTCAGCCTCTAATTTTAAACCTAAATAAAGTTTTGAGTGTCTGAGGAATAATAAAATGAATAAAGCGCTGGTGTATAGCTATAATGATGTGGTCTCATCTTTCCAAGCTGTTGCATCATCTCCCTCTGTATAATCTGTGAATCTGCACTGATACATCATCAATACAGAAACTCAGTCTTCAACAAATCTGCATAAATCTTGGGTTCGTTGGCATCTAACATACCCTTGATATTCCTTATTTATGATGCTTGGAAAGAATAGAATATGACCAGAAATAAGTGAGCGGGCCCATAAACTCATTAAGAAAGTGTTTACAAAGATCATCACTCAGGGCTGTTTTCCAGTAGACGTCTAAAGGACCAGAAGCCTTTTTCTGCAACCACAGGTGCCACCAGCTGCTACTGGCACCTCTGTGTTGTCATTTTCCATAGAAGAGAGAAAAAACAGATCTGAACTCCTGACAATGTCATTTCTGACTCTCTGAAAGTCTAGTTCTGGAAGTCTCTGGAAGTTGGTGCTTGTCTCGTGTGCAGAAGCGATAGTTATCTGCCCAAATTTAGTAATACATGATCAAGTGTATTAAGAAATCCAAATTTGTCATGTCATTTGGAAACAGCTGTATAGCAGTGTGACCAATAAATGAAACAATGGGTCAGTTTCAGGAGAGGAGCAGCCACCAGAGGCATAAATGAAGCATATTGGAAGGACACGCTTCTCTGAAAAAGTGAAAATTGTGAAAACAGGATTTAAATATATAGTAAATTTCAGTTTATTCTTCTTTTGAGAGATTTGTGCGATCGCTCCAACAGCTCTTGCACACAGACACTTTGCTTAGTGTCTGCGTGCTTTTACCTCGCTAATATGCTGAATTGCCGTGTTAGATTTAGATTAAGGCCCCACTGATGAAAAGCAAAGCCTCATGATTTAATTAAGCCTTGTTAAGTTTTCTGTGTGACACACATCTTCACTTCTCTCATTTACAGACGGTGGACATCCATAAAGAGAAGGTGGCCAGGCGAGAGATCGGGATCCTGACCACTAACAAGAACACAGCAAGGACTCATAAGATCATAGCGCCGGCCAATATGGAGCGGCCAGTCAGGTACATCAGGAAGCCAATTGACTACACTCTACTGGATGATGTCGGCCACGGCGTTAAGGTGAGCAGATTTTTCTTGTTTTGTGTGTATGTGGCACTAATTTTCTGCTCGCATATAATATTTCCCTCTGCTCAGTCCATTAGTTTTCCCATCTTTTTCATCTCCCTTCCCCCTCTTTGCTTTCTCGCCAGAGGTACTCCTATCTCCCTCTCTCCTCTCCCACTTTGTCTGTTTTTCTCGCTCAAACGGCGTCTCTTGTGCTTTCTCTTTCATCTTCAGAAAACACCCCTCTCTGACCCTGCAGGAATATGTTGCAGTGTGTGTTAGTGGGAACTGGTTCGGGAGGGTGGAGATGGAGATAAACTTTAAAAAAAGCAATTATGTCATGTAGCTTTCAGAAAACAGCTCTGTTCTTGGATTGTTGTGAAAATGGTGATCAGAGACACATTTGTGGGACTTTTTTTTTTTTCTTTTCTTTTTTTTAAAGGCACTTTAGCCGCTCTCATAATCTCATTATGGCGATGATGTTATGGTTCGATTTGTAGTTTATCTAACTTCAGTGTGAAAGGTAGCAAAGAAGCTTTTTGATGTGATAAACTCTTCAAAACAGAGACTCACCCGCAGCTCCCAGCCATTAGGGCTCGCTCTAGGGGTCGCTCGGTGACATCATTTCCTGACAGCTGCAGGCAGTTTTTCTATTTATTTCTTTTTTTGGAGATCTCCATTCTCCCTCATGAGCGTCCTCTGCGCCATCAGTCAGCCAATCAATCTCAGCTGTCAGACAGATTGGATTAAAGACCCCGCCATTAGTGTCCCATAGTGTTACAGGCATTGATAAGACCAGATAAAAGCCATTGTGCCACTCTCAATTTTCTGTGTGGGGAGTTGCATTGAAGCCCTCTGTCACGGTTAATGGGATGTGAAACATTTTGTTAGGGTGTGTTTCACCCTAGACTTTCCAGACTTTCACCAGTAATTATGACTATTGGGCCGTAAATGTGAGGCTATTTACAGTTTCAGGAATAATAAAAGCAGGAGTCTTTCTTCCTGTGAGTAAGATTCAGAGAAAATGAAATAATTGGCAGATACAGTTTACAAAAAGAGATAGTGATAGTGGATTTAGAGTGGCGATACAGATTTTTAGTTTTGGGTCCAGACCGAAACTACCACAGAAAATATCACACAATCACAAACTCCAGAGGTGTGGCTGAGCGATAGAGCCAGAAATAACAGATTTCAACAGACTGACAGTCCAGCCTCTTAAGTCTTTCTTTTTTTTTCACAGCAGTGGATTGATGTGTCACATTTACAGTGGTTAGCCACAATGAAGAAAAACGTTGCAGTCTTATGGCTTCACTGCTATGCTACTCTGCTACATGTGGTACAGACGGCCCTGAAAGTATTGTAAGCTGGACAAACTGTGATGATGCTATTTCTTAATTATTCCAACTATCTTTTTTTTGCAAGAAGTCTTTGTTTTATTTTTTGTGCTTATCAAACATCTTTCCCTACATTGCTTAAAGAGGGGAAAAAAAGTAATACTTGCAAACTTTGAGGTGAGGTTGTTGTGTCCACTGTTTCCATCTAGTAATGTTCATATCTAATTAAAACCAGGATCACCAGGCATAACCGTGCAATAAGGTCCATTTTAATCATCCCCAGTTCTGTACCTACTCTTTACTCTAAAAGAGACGCTCAAAATTAGGCCTCGTCGGCTGCTTTAAAGCCATTTGAGTCTATTTTAGGATTATCACGTAGTACTCTGAGCCTAATCTCTGTGGATTTTCTGCCTTAAACGTCTTTGTCTATGCCGCGTTTAGCCTGTGAATGTGGGGAGCGCACACCCGCACATCCGGCAGCCCTACATCACTCACCTCCTCTCATCTATGCATGTCGAGAGCCAGAGAGCGATCGATACGCAACATCAATACTCCACATTAATTCATAGCGCATGCTGCAATGGCAGCTGTCAAAAGTCTGAACGTCTGTAGCCGCGTTTTATTTACTGACCAGAATCGATACCTTAATATGAGTTCAGATCGTGAATATCGGCTCCAGTTTGCTTTCAGACTTGCTGTGTCTGCCTGAGGGTTAGCTTTGGCCTAAATGTTGAGTTGGCTTTACGACCTTAAAAAAGTTGGTGTTGGACACCTGCGGAGAGGAAAATAAAATTTGATTTGCTAACATACATTATTGAAGAAAAGTTTTTCTATAAAAGGGAGGTGGGAAAAAAAAAGAAGGAAGATGAAATTCATGTGGTATAAACAAACCGAACACAGCAGTAATCACTGCAGTCTCACAACTGACAGATCAGGATGCTCCTGCAGGCTTTCTGACAGCAACATGATGCTTTTTAGCTTTAATACGAAAGATGAGATTTATTCTTCCAGTCAGATGATGTTTAATCTAGTCAGCGAGGCTTTCAGGAATGCACCAGGCACGTCGGCTGTTTGAAGTCAGATTTCAGTCCTTTGATATTCTGTCCTGTGTCAGTTAAGAGTTTACAGGATTACTAAAGGGGATGGTTCAAGTTCTTCATGACAAAGACGGCGGCTGCTGTTGTTCCTCTGTATCGGAGATGTTTCTGGTAACTCGTTTCCTAGTTGAGTAAAAATCTGACTAATCCACTGCTGTGAGTGTATGAAAAAAGTGAGCACAATTCTAATCTTACACATTGTCTGTAAACATATTTACGCTATATGAAAGAATCAGTCTAGCATACATCAGCCTAACATACATATGACATTTGTGGTGTAGCCAGGCACGGCTGTACGATCGTATTTGTTTGTACCGCCAGTTTAATGATTTATCACTGATATATCATTAAACTGATGGTTCATAATGGCCCCGTTAGAACCAACAGTTAAGTGGTGTTGCGTTCCAACCAGAGACTGTATAAAACATGGACATTACACGGTAGTTTTGGCCTCCACCAACACTTCGAGCCTTAACATTGGTCAGATAAATTCAATGAAATGCAACAACGGCACAAACATGGTAGAGAGCTCTAGTTCAAAGACGTGAATTAGTTGAGGTGAGGCCTGTCAGACCCATTCAGCTGCCTCTGCAACTCAAACCTATCATGTGTTTTTGGAGCAAGCCTGAAGAAGGCGAACTGCAATTTTTGGCGGATCATCTTTAGATTAATTATTTATTTATTTCTTAAGCACCGCATATTGCTCCCTTGGTGACTGCTAGTTAGGGCAGCAATGGTTAATTGTTCAGTTCTGGCAGATGTGATAACACCCGACAGGCTACTGATACAAGACCTTTACCCTTAGCAGCTGCAGGCATGTTCAGATTTCACACAAAGGCAGTAGTTTGCAGGCGAGAGCGCTGCAACTTTAACTGGTTACAGTTGCTAAGTTTTGCCTTAAAAACCTTAAATGAGCATTTTCCAGCTGCTTTTTTTTTTTAAAGCTCAGTCACATTAAACTCCAGTGGCAGCAGCTGCTTCACAAGAAGGGCTGCACCACATTAAATAAGTTCAACGCTTTTAAAGGGAAGCGGCAGTTAACACAGGTTTAATAAGATGTAAGATATATTAACCGGACCTCCGGCAGTGTCTGTTGCCTTCATGCACCTTTGACACACTGCAGAGCTATAGTTTCTTTTTTTCACCCTGAACCTGTCAGTCCATAATTCACCTTTGATGTCAGTAAAGCATTTCCACACTGCCCGTCTGTTTTATTTATTTATTTATTTTGTACAGCAGAACAGCATTTGCCAGGAAGATAAGGCGAGGCAGTAGTGGGCCTTGGCATTTCCAGCATGACCTAGATTGTAAATTGAATCTCTTCTAGCTGTGATAACCCGAGGAGAGTGAAATCTGAACATGAAGTTAGCCTTTCGCAGCTGCACTGAAGCCGTTTCCTGTTTTTAAGCGTGCAAAGGTCGGCTCCTGTTGACCTGTGCTATGAATTTACTCTTGATTTCATCCGTTCTTTCTGTTGTGGTCCTGTGACGCTACAGTGCTTTCTGCAAAGGCCACTGGGGAAGCTGCATTATAGATGAGCCACTTGACTCTGTAGTTGTCAAACTGCAGATCAACCCCGCTGCTATGCTGGCTCTGTTTTCAGACAGAAAGCTACACAAGTATGAGTTTTGAATTCATTTTCTAGGGGTGCCAGTGAAGCGATGATCTGAAATTATGCAGTTCACATCATAGAAAATGCATAAAAGGTTACCAAAGGTTGGAGTGGTTCTCTGCAACCTTTTCTTACGTCATTTTGTCGATGCACAAAAATAAATTCTTCAGTTTCTTTTGCCATTCGATCCCTGAAAAATCTTTGCTGTTTGGCTCTTGCTCTGGGTGTGGTGCTGGAGTAAAGGGCACAAGTCAGGAAACGGTGTTTTTCTATAAATGGCATGATTTTTACTACTGACCTTCTGAGGTCTTGCTACGAGTTAACAGTGTAAATACAAGGAATCATTTTTCTGCTGCTCACTTAACTTGGACTGATCCATTTACATGTGGCTGTTTTGACATGCCCTCTTTCTGTCTCTTTCTCCTGTGTTTTTTTTTTTTTTTCTTTTTTCCTTCGCCCACACTAAGTGGCTAAAAGCCAAGGTAAGTCTGCTTTGTCACATGACCCATTTTGCTCCGATGTATTATTGATAGATTTGTTCAACTCCCTTCCACGGCAGACTCGTCCTTGTGTGATTACTGTCATCATCTCCCATGTTACTTCACATTAACTGACCTGTAGTCCTCCCACAGATGAGCGTAGTCTTTGTCACACTCCCTTGTCTGTTTACCAACCATGTATGTGTTGTTATTTACTTTCATGTTGTGTACTCGTCCCTTAATGTCACGTAGTTTGTTTAATGCTTACGGGTTTCCCAGATAACTGCTGTTGCTCCAAAATTCCATCAGAGTGTAAACTGCACACCCTGGGGGAGGGATTACATCTCCCCTCAAATATTACGCTGTGTCATCTGGGCAGCCTGTAAGAGTAGATTGTGATCACATTAGTAATATTCACCCACTGTGACTGGAGGAATGTGTGCATAAAACAAGCTTCTTCTGGGGTTTCTTTCCAACCACAGCAACATGGAAACAATCAGTCGATCAGAGGAGGAACACTATCGAGGACCAATCCGCCGACGCAAAAGCCGCCCAGTCCGCCGATGTCCGGGCGTGGCACGCTTGGGTAAGATTTCCATCAGAGTCACCAGAAAAGGAAACCCAGTCCTTTAATTATGAATAACTTAAGCACGTCACTTGTCTTTATTTTTTGCTTTATAAGTCCAAGAGATAAAAACACAGGGCACATTTGCTGAGGAGGGAACTTGATGGATCAGTGGTCACTTTTGCTGGAAAAGAAGCTGATAAGTGGCAGGATCCAGAAAAAGAAACACGCAGGGTTGTTGTAGTGCGTCCTGCCCCGATGCACAAACACAGACGCTGATCAGATATTAATTCCAGGGATAAACAGCGATGTTTAGCGCGCCTCATCCAGCTGGGTAAACTGATAGGATTTACAACGCTTTAGTGGACACACCCATAACGTTCAGATAGTAGGCTTTACGCTCAGTGATGATTATTCTTTTCTTTGATTTTATCATAATTTGTTTATCGCTTTTCATTTTTGGGCCACTCCAGACGCAACACGCCCTACAAGACCCTGGAGCCAGTGAAGCCGCCCACGGTTCCCAATGACTACATGACCAGCCCCGCCCGACTAGGCAGCCAGCACGGACAGCAGCAGAGCCCCGGGCGCACGGCGTCGCTCAGCCAGAGGCAACGCACGCACAGGTAGATGAGGAAAGAGGGAAAAATCAGTGCATGCAGCTATGCAGGAGCTTCTGTTGCTTTTCTGTATATATTACTGTAACCAGAATATTATATTATAACAAGTTAGGACAGCAAGCCGTTTCCATAAACTGTGCAGTGATGCAGAGACCTACTAATACCAACTAAGTAACACACAAATAAACAACTACACTTCGACACTGAAGAAAAACTCAGGACAAACTATTTAAGGACTTGTAGTACAATTAACCACATATAAAATTCCAATACGGACGTAAAGAGGCTGAAGCAGTTATAAGAAGTGTGGTAGTAGCACGTGAGAGGAATACGATCCGAATATATGACCAAAAACTGACCAAATATTGATGCTAGAAGAGGATAAGAGTCACAGAAAAATACTTTCATGCAGAGTGCAGTTTAAAATCTGCAATGCTAATCAGGCAACAGGCACGTAACCCTTTTTTTTTTTTTCTCAAAAATTTTGGGAGGTTGAAGTGGAATTAGGTGTTCCAGCTACACCACTAAAACTGCTCACTGAATATAAACCTAGGGTTTGAGTAATGTGTGTAAAGCATCTATCCAAAAACACCGGTCCCCTCTATGTCGGCTAGTTCTAATCTCTTCATTCAGTTCAGCGGCTTAGAGCACTTTCACACCTCTTCCTCTCCACTACACTAAATCCAGCATTTGTCTGACAAGGATTGGAGGGCTTCTGAATCACTCTGATATTAATATCTGTAAAAGCCTTTGAAATAAAGTGCTGTTAAAAAAAAGAAAAAAGTCCACCACAGCGTGGAACCCCTTGAACATTACTCTCAAGGATTGTTCCCCAGAAATCTCCAGGAGCTTTCATCAAATGTGAGTTACGAGTGAGTGAAGTCTCCTCATTAGCTAAAAAGCCTGTAATGCTGGCTCGTAAATATTACGTATTTATGAGCAAATTTTATTTATTTTTAAACCCTCTTTGTCCAACTTCCCTTTTAGTTTCATGCTTGTTGCTTCTTTCCTACAGCTGTTCTGCCTCATCTGTTAAAACGTATTTGAATGTGCACAGTTTTAGGTTCTTTGGCGTCACCGTTGCCGATCTGCTCTGATGTCCCCTTAACAAACCGAATGCTGTCCTCAGAGTCCCAAACTCCCTGCTGCAGCTAATATTGCTGTGGCATCGCTATTTGATTACACTGCCTGGAAGTAAGCTGTGCTTGTTCAGCTCAACAGTCTCTGTCATCTTCAGCTGAGGTCTGAATTCAATATAGGCTCCCGTGTGCTGCTACACGTTCCCTGCTATTATCTAATTTCTTTGTATAGGAGCGATTACACTCTTGCGTGCAGGGAACGTTTTATTTTAGGAGCCGTGCTAATTTTAGTCACCGCAGAATGCTTGGAGTAAAAAATTTGCTCCAATCTAGCATTACAGGTTTGGATATCTGGGCAGAGTCTGTATGTTAAAGATGGTGTTTGGCTTTGTGGACACAGCATGTACCAAAACACAAATGTTAAACATAGTTCCTGCAGAACTATCAACTTCTTCTTTAACTGCTATACCCATATTCTTTATGTCATTATAAAGCAATTCAAAAGTGCAAATGGATGGTTTGCTATCTTTCTGTTACATGGTACCCTAAAAGTACACCCCATTTGCTGTGCAAATCATGCAAAACATTTTGTGCCATGTGAAGGAAATCAGCTGTTCTTATGGTTAGATTATGGTTCCATACACAGATGCATAAAATGAGTCACAGATGCACAGATTAAAGGCTTTAAACTCACTACCGCATCAAGTCAGGTTTGGTGTTGCTTCTGCAACTTTACAAGTGGGAAGTCCGACCGTTCCGGTGTTTTGCCAAAAAATAATTGCTGGTATTTAAACTGTTAGGCTGTCAAACATATCTGTCAAAAATGATGTCAAGCCTTTTTGAACCAGGAAAAAACACCTTTCCATCAGAGAGACACTGCAATCAGCTTTTGGAAAAGTGTCTTTACATATCCGTATTTATTCTTTATATCCCATATTTATAGGATATATCCTATATCATATCCAGATCTGGCTGAGCTGGGGAAGCAGAAATAGCAGCAAATATGACATCACAGGTCTGAAATTGGGCAGGGATAGCTCAGTAGGTACAGTGGTGGCCCCATGATCGGAAGGTCGGCGGTTTGAATCCACTGAACAGCGACCCTGAGGTACCCCTGAGCAAGGTACCGTCCCTACACACTGCTCCCCGAGTGCTAGATTGGTGGCTGCCCGCTGCTTCACTGAGTGAATGGGTTAAATGCGGAGAGGGGGATCAATCAAGTATACATTAGAAAGGTATTTTTAATTGACCAAAAGGACAGGATTGGATGTAATGCGACAACGACAACAACAACAAACTTTATTTATATAGCACATTTAAAACCAGTGGAATACCAAAGTGCTTAACATACGAGAGGGTCAAACGTAAGTAGTAGAGAAAGATGATGGCTATGGCAAAGTACCAAACATGCTAGCAGGTTGATGGCACTAAAAACACAGAGACAAAAGAAATGCATATAAAAGCGTAATAGAACAATATGTGTAAAAGACAAGAGAGTCAATAAAAATGTAAAATAATTAAAAGTAGTTAAAAAGAGAACGAAAGTAGCAACAAACATTAAACTAACTAACAAACGAGCATTAACTGGTATAAAAGGCGACGTTAAATAAATGGGTTTTTAACCACGATTTGAAAGATTGAAACTGGGAAGATGATCTTAGATTATACACCCCTGCTAGAGCACTAAGTAGTTCAGTGAGGTAACTTGGCACTATATTGTTAATAATTCTAAAGGTGAGCAGCATGATTTTGAATTGAATACGATACTTAACGGGGAGCCAGTGCAGGTCAACGAGGACAGGGGTGATGGAAACACGCCGCCCAGTACCAGTAAGAAAACCAGCCGCCTCATTCAGAACAATTTGCAGTTTATGGAGAAGAGTAGAGTTAAGACCAGTAAAGGGAGTTGCAATAAGTACAGACGTCCTTGTGCGGGACATAATGTCTGGCCTTGCAAATAAGGCGCAATTGATGAAAGCAAGATTTCAGAGTCATAAGGTCCTGGCAGAACAGGTAATTTCCTTATTTTATACATCTTTGCAAATCCTGTTAACTGCAGTCTTCATCAATATAACCAAAGAGATTACTTTTTGGCTCAACACTGGCTTGAAATTCCAGTTAGGATCTTGGGATTCCCGACTTCCCACTTCAAATGAAACGTCAAAGCTGCCTATTTACAGTGAGTATGGATAAATACCAGACGACTACCTTTAAATATCAGTGTCACAGATGGCTTTAAAAGGTGAATGCCTCCTTCCAGGAGATGATACTCGTGTACGCTTCAGAATGCTTTTATTTTTTTGTTCATTTTCATGGAGAAAGCTGTTTTTCCATATTGGCTCTAGAGATTTTTGTCAGTTGTGAGCAAGTGAGCTGGAACTTTCTTACGCCTCACAGTTAATTTATCAACAGTTCCCTGTTATAAGTACAGACTGAAAGAAGGAGGCGGAGCAGCGGCGAAAGAGCTCATTGGTTTTATTTGACACCATTTTGAAACAAAGACGACTAAAGAAAGCTAAAGCAGGGGAAGAGATAAATGGGTTGGCAAAGGAATGGTAAGTTATAGAGAGATTAGAAGGGATAAATCTAAATCGCAGAGATGAGGAGGAAGGGTGTTGACTTTTAAAGAGGGCACAATATTGTTTAGCCTCTATAGTCGCAGACAGTTAGCTCCTACTGCCACCGTCGTCCTTTAGAGGAGTAACTCCCGCTGTTTGTGCCCGGAGAGCCCCAGGGCTTGACTGACACAGATCAGAGAGGAGGAGAGGGCAGAGGGGAGGGGAGGAGGGGTGAAGGGAAAGGGGGATAAGGGGATGTGGGGGAGGTGGGAGTGAGCAGGGGTTCAGAGGGGTGGAAGGAATCAGAGAAGATGAGGGAGAGAGGGGTTCTGGTAGATGAATGGGGAATCACTTTACAGGCGATGAAGAGATCAGAGAAAGAGGTCAAGGGATGGTTAAGGGTGAGGGGAGGATCAGTTGAAAAACAAGGATGAAAGCGGCAGGGGAAAAAAAGAAGAGGTGGGATGAGGGGTTGTAGCAGAAATGAGGATCAAGGCCAGCCTGAGAGATGGTGAAAGAGCGGGAGGAGGGAATTATTTGTCCGGGCCATTGATCTACGAGCTGTGGGGTCATGTACAGGCTGAAAATGCAGAGCTGACGTACATATTACATACACATGACCTACATCCAAGTGCTGGGCAAAGCTGCTGAAATCCAGTAAAAACATTATGTCTGAGCAAAGCTCCTTTCAGTTGCTCCTTTATTCACACGGGGTGACAGGAGAGCGGAGCAGGTAGCGCCACATATTTGACGTAGCTAATTGATATGACGAATACCTTTTGTGACACAACCCACAAAGGCTTTGTCTCTATGTGGGATGGAATGGACAGACTTTTAAGGCAAGTCTGTAAAAACAATGTCGATTTTCCACAGAATCGCCTTTTAAATGTTTGATGATCCATGCATTTATCTTCTAGCGCTTATCTGGGTCGCAGCGACAGCAGCGACTTCTCTCACACCGGCCACCTCTTCCAGCCAGTCCTAGGTCTTCCCTGGGGCCTTCTCCCAGTAGGACATGCCCCTAATACCTCGCCTACTGGGAGGTGTCCAGGAGGCATCAAGTCAGATGCCTGAACTGGCTCCTTTTAATGTGGAGGAGCAGCAGCTCTACTCAGAGTCCCTCTGAGCTCCTCACCGTATCTCAAGGGGAGCCTAGGCACCTTTTGAAGGAAAGTAATTTCCAATACTTGTATCTGCGACCTCATTCTTTCAGTCACTGCTCAGAGCGCATGACCGTCGGTGAGGGCAGGAACGTAGATGGACCAGTAAATCGACAGCTTCGCTTTTCTGCTTAGCTCTCGCTTTACAGCAACAGATCAGTACAGCATCCACATCACTGTGCTGGTTTCATGAATTTATTATGAGTGGAATATTTTTTTTGAGAACAGTAGATAATTTGTCATAAAAAATATGAAAATTGCCTGTGATTTGGGTCCTGGGAACACATGTCTTAAAATTTAAGTCCAACACCACAAAATATTTGAAACGCATATATAATTTATAATTTCAGGAAGTTGTTCATCTGTAGCTTTCGTTATTTAAAAAACAAACAAACAGCTAATGAATATTCACCTCATTCTTTAACATGACTCCATATGTCCTTTTTCTTAACTGCAGTGTTGAGTGAGAATCAGGAGCCACAGTTCACAGGTCACCAGTTCGTCGCAGAGAGACAACTGTCACGTCCACATCTACAGTCAATTTAGTCACCAGTTAGCCTAACAAATAACTCGCACAAAGAGCCATCCAGTGATAGACACTGCAGATTTGTTCAGGCTATAAATGCAGTGGTGTGAGGCGTTAATTCACGCGTCACACTTATTCCTGTACCAGTAAGTCTACAAATTCTACATAATACTGGGTGTGTAGTAGGAAAACATTCACAAATACGTGCGCGTTGGTATGATAAATTCCAATTTCAATAATCTTTAAATCCTGCTGACTAACCTGCTTCTCATAAATGTGTGCAAGCTGCAGTAAGCGTGCGCGCATGTGTGTGGCCTGCTTAAACTGATGTGCAGACTGATGTTCCTGTTATACAGTCACGTCTTTGTTCCTTTTATTTCGTTCTCTAAAAATAAATCATGCGGAACATTTAGACGTGTTTGGCAAGGCCTCGTATCATGTACAACAAAGTGACTGTTCCCCCCATTAGTCTCAAAGCAAGGCTTAATGTTGGTGATTATCATCCACACTATATGATGATCACTGCAAATTTGTGTTTGGGGGGCAATTGGAGTGTCAAAAGCAAGATTTTAAGGTGGTTTGCATGCTGAATGCTTAAATACCCTCTTAAATCCTGGAATATTTATTTTTTTGTTCAGTTTCTTTGACAGACTGTGACCAAAAATGCTTCAATAGGGTGACTCATGTCTTTTTCACTTGGGTGTGTCACCCTGCAGCTTAGTCTTAACAAGCCAATAGACTGAATAAGTGTGGAAGAGCAAAGTCACCCTGGAGTATTACTTAAAAATGTGGAGTTTTTGGCCTTTTACTTCTAAATGGGACATAAGCAGCGACGCAGCAGAGTCCCCTATATCTGCAGTGTTACCTGCTGTGCAGTCTAAGCAGGTTGCCCTGAATAAAACAATGTCCTCTTTTTCCTTCTGTCTCTCCTCCCTCAGTGGAAGCAGCGGGGGCAGCGGCAGCAGGGAGAACAGCGGCAGCAGCGGAATTGGCATTCCCATCGCCGTGCCTACACCCTCCATCCCCAACTCTGGACCAGGTGAGCTTGACAGTGGTGGTGACTTAAACAGTAAACGGTAACAGTCGGCCAGTCGGTGTCCAGATTATGCTGATTTTCAGTGAGGCTTTTATTGGCAGTTGTTTTTTACTTTTAAGTGTTTTTTTTTTATTTGTTTTTTTTTACCTGGATTAGAAATGCAGGGAGAAATATTTGCTTTAATGAGTAAGAAATCTGTGTACACCCTCAGGAATGTTGTCACTTGAGTTTTGGTGTATTTTCCACCCAGTTAAAACAAGATGATGACACTACAGGACTGCTCTGTTTGGCAAGATGCACACCATAGACTTCAACTAATTCAAATCTAGATGTAGCTTCCAGGTCTGAAATGGTCACCAAAGGGCGACTGCTCTTGTTTAAAGATGAGTCCAGTTTCACAGAAGTCAATGAGAAGATGATCCTACAGCTCAGTTGATATTTGACCTCAGTAAACATCTCCTAATGAGAATGTGTCCTTATACATTAGCTTTAGCTAATAGCTAATGCAACAGTGTTCATTTGTTTAAAGTCATTATCATTATTTAGAGTGAAATAGACAATAAAAAAACAGTATGCAAGGTGACAACCTTGGACTTCTTAAACATCTGGGACAAATCAATGTTGCTACTGATTGTCCATCTTTTAGGTACAGTCTATGGTGTGTTCTTTGTGAATCAAACTTTAAACACATACATTTCTCAATCAATATATGGCTAAAATATGGCTAAAAATACAATTTAAATAAATGTTTTTAAGCGTAAAATCTGAATATATGATGAAGTTTGATAAAGTGTAAATGTATGACGCTATTGGCAGATAGAGAGAGTGTGCATCACAAAGCCTATGTTTACCAGACAGGGATTATGGAGCCCCATTGTGTTCTAAGCACAGCTGATTCTCTATCCTACTGTGTAAATAGGCCAAGCTGCGTGAGGCCTGACACTTTACAGTTAAACAGTAAAGCCCACGTAACACGACGAGCTGCTACACGTGGTGTCGCGCTGTACCGTGATCACGGCGGAGATGGTGCTGCGTTTAAGTTTGGAGCATTGTAGGTTGACGTAGCAGCTGTTTTACCTCGGCGCCGGGATCAGGCCGGCAGCACAGGACTTTCCACAGCACTCCCTCTCTCTCTCTTTCTCTGTGATGTGCAAGCTGGTCGCCATGGAAACACTCGATTCATACCGCAAAGGAGTGTGTCCAAGTGCGCGAGAAGTCGGAGCGCTCCTCCGGGCCCGGGGGGTTCTTAAGTAAATTGATATGATGTTATGTAATCGAGGTGTAGGAGGCGGCGAGGACACGCTCTGCTCCTGCCTTACCGCTAAATGGTCACTAACGTGAGTCCTCCTTTCAGTCCCAACCATGCCTGCTCCCCCGGGAGCCCCTCCGCCTCCCCCACCCCCTCCTCCTCTACCTCCACCTGCTCCTCCCATGGCCGGGATGGCCCCTCCAGCGCCACCACCGCCACCTCCCATAGGTGAGATTCCTCGAAGCTCCAGAGCCGCTTGTTTGACCTCTGCCGACTGGATGGCGGATCATCACCTTGGAGATGCACAAAATAAGGGTGCTGTGGGTGCCGATGTCCGTCTGTGCACACTGCAAGCAAAGGGTCCTCTTATCAAATCTTATCAAGAATAAAGCAACAGAAACAGCCGCATCATCTCTGAGAGATTTCTCTGTCATCCACTTAGACTGAAGCGGTATTCACAAAATGAGGAAACATTATTAAGGAAATGGGGGAGAAAGATAAAAATCGAATTGCGCTCTCGACGAGCGTTGGCCATGACGAGCTTTCCCCAGCCAAGAAACTCGCTGAACTAAACACAGCAGCCAAAGATTTCTGGGTTGTTCAGCTCTGTCGTTGCTTGCAGTGTGGACAGAGTTTCGTGCTTCTGTTAAGCACAGTGTGACATTTAACTTAATCCTTCACGGTGGTGGTTTTGGTGGTGGTGGTGCTCTTCTTCACTGAAGTGTAATCGGTTAATACAGAAGTCTCATGTCACTTAGGGCCTGGCTAAAGTTAATTAGTGTCTGTAATTTCTCTTAAATTGGTCCTTTACATTTTAATCTCAAGCTGTTGTGGATAATAAAATAAGTTTTTATTTCAAATCTGTACAGATGTACAGAAACGTGACTTTGAGACTTCTACTGCAGGTACAGTATGTGGCTCATTTGATTTATTTTTTTTTAAATTTCCATAAACATGATTGTGGTTAAAGCTGCATCAGGCAACACTTTCCTGAACTCAAGATCATTCACATTTAAAGCTGTAAGCTGGTTGTGGACATTCCAGACTCTGGTTTCATAATTAACCCTTTTAATTGGTAATCGGCGTGGCTACGATTTGAGATGAGTTTGCATCTTTAAATCTCTCCATTTGATTGTCAGCCGTCTCTGTGCTGCATCGCTGTTACTTTCTATTTGCGTGTGCGTTAGCTGTGATCATAGTCTGTGATGAAACAGAAAAACTATTTTTGCAAAGTTGCAAAAAAAGATTGACACATCCCCAAACTCGGTCGTTACTGTAAATGTTCACCCATCAGCGGGCAAAGCTAAAGATAACTTGCTGATGCAGGGTGCGGTCTGTTTAGACAGATGTAGTATAAAAAGTCAAACGTTCCTATTGGGCCTAACTTTTAAAATTACAATTGCTGCACCAGCATTGTTAGACCGAGGGGTCAAACAACACATCACATCTAATACATTTAAAGCTAATTTGTCCCTCTAAACCTGATTTATTGGAAACCCTGTTATGTTTTTAAGTAATTAGTTGCCTTTTATTGAACACTGTGCTCAATGCGTCTTTGCAACAGGTTTAGGGAGTGGGTAAGCTGAATTCAGAGATGCTAATGATTTTCACTGGTAGAAAGTAAAGCAGTGACTCGGTATGGAGACTGTTTGAGCCACAGCAAATGCCACATAATGATTTCAGGGTAATGGACTCCCCAAACCATTCAGCCAGCCTTTTGGGTGCTTCAGATACTCAGCAGTGCCTGATGTAGCTTTAATTTACACGGCCTCTGAATCACAGATTCGTGATGCTGGGATTGATTTAGAGTCCGAGCTCTGTAAAGCTTAAAGCATCCAGCTGTTTCATCGGTGTCCACCGGTAAGTGTCTAAGCCTGAGCAGCAGCCGCTCTTCGCTCATCGACTCCGGTAATCTTTGTGGCCGAGATGATCACTTGAATTGTGCACATTTTATCCTCTGAACATCACAAGTCTCTTTATTTTCCACTTATAATTATTCTGCTGGTGACACTGTAGCGAAGTTTATTTGTGGTTGTTTTCCTCTGAATCTTTACTTCCTCTGGTCCCACCCATTCCTATCTCTCCCGAGAGGATGTATATTATCTAGAAATGTGAGCAGGAAATGCTCGAGCAGAAGAAAGAAAGGCAGAAAAAAACTTAAACCCCTCCTCGCCCTCTCTATTTTTGTCGCCCACAGCCGCACACATTGCTTCAATCTTCAAATAGTTCTTTGTTGTTGTTGTTTTTTAAGCTGTTGTTCACAGAGATGCTTCAGTTATTCTTTGATGGGCGGTGTAGTGATGCACGTAATCCTAAATGCTACCTGCAGTCTTTTAAACCGTGTCAAACATACGGCCCGCGGGCCTGAATCGGCTTTGTAAAGACTCCAATTCTGCATCCTTGACAACTTAAGAAAATGTGAATGAAGGGCAAAGATTTCGAACAGTTTTTCCTGTTGATAAAGATCCCCCACACACCCACTGCCATCTATACTACACCAAAGTGAATCAATGAGAGCTTCATATTCTAAATCTATACTTACAGGACACCCTGACCAATGAACTGTGGGAACCTTTTGTTTGCTTCATACATTTATCATGCAGTTTCACTGGTCCAGCTCACTTCACATCAAAGCGTGGCATAAAATGAGTTTGAAATCCCTGTTTTAATTGTTGCTTCAGCAAAAACCTGCAGGATCCATCTGTTCTGTTGCTGCGTTCTTATTCCTCAATCGATCCTTCCTTTCCTTCTTGTCTAAGAAAGCTACATTTAAGATAACTTGTTGACGAAACTCTTCATGAAGTGTCTGTTACTTTTATAATCAAATTACAATCTCTGTTGCTTCCCCAAGATCACCTGCTTCCTCTGACTTTTGTTGACTAACTTTAACATTTTTTTAATAGGCAGGGGGCTCTGATCAGAATTTAAAAGCTCATGTTATCTCACACGGTGTTGATGATTCATGTTTTGGTTGGTTTCCCCCTTCCCTCTCATTTCCAACCTTCTTCCCTCCTTTGCTACCGTGCTTGGCTTTCCTCTCTTTCCTCCCCGTCCTTGGGGTTTCTAGCTGTGGCCCCTGGACCTGGTCTGGGACCCGCTCCAATGTCCCAGTTTGGAACCATCTCGCGGCAGATTTCGCGGCACAACTCTTCCAACTCCTCTGTCTCTATGGTTTCGGCCACGGGCACCTACCGGCGGGCGCCGTCGGTCACTTCGCAGTTCTCCTTGCAGCAGCAGCAGCAGCAACAACAGCAGCAACAGCAGCAACAGCAGCCTCATATTAATGGAGGCACTCCTGGCTATGGTCAGAACTCAAGTAAGGCCCTCTTGTCTCCAGCTCCCAACTGCTTTCTAGATCCAGAGCTGTCACTGAAGGACACACAACCTCACATTCTTCCCAAATCATGCACCTGACGCGAACTAACCTTTGTAGCCACACACAAAATCTTTATATTTTATATTTGCAAGTAAATCAGTGCTTTCTGAAGGTTAGGCCGAGTTCTTCACAGAACTATTGACGTTTGTTTTTAATCTGAAAGTGCAGGTTAAGGCTTTTTATCCAACTGTGGGGCGTCTTTAGTATTGATGCAGAATGCCTCATCCTTGGATTTGTACACAGATGCAATGCAGGCAATCAATATTAGCTAGCAGTGCAGAGTCGGTCTTTGGCAAACTTAGGCAAAGTTTACTGGCTGTGTATTGTACTGCAGTTTAGTTAGGTCAGCTGTTAACCTCACTTCAATTATGCCTATATTGCTAAGAGATCTCTTTGCACAGATTTATTAGGTGGGGTCAAGAAAATAAAGGCAAAGCACAGGCATCATTGATTTTTAAGTCTCTTTTTAAAGGGTAGACTTGCAGCTTGAGATAGCAGGAATAGTTAGGTGGCCTTTTCACGCTGTATGGATCCCATTTATACAGATCGCAGTGCAAGCCAGATGACCTGCAGATGTGCCCGTTCCGTTCCAAACACTTCATTCAGAGAGAATTTACACATCACATGTGGTCTTTCTTGCACATCTGCAGATTCCTGGTAGCTTTGTCATTGCCTGAAGCCTAAAAGTGATATTTTCTGAAACACTGGTTCTTGACTATTACTTATTCACAGCATTTAACCTAAAATTGATCATGTGATCTGAGGAAAACTAACATGAGAATCTAAAGTAGTGTTAACATTACTAAAACAGGTCTGTAGGGAGTTGCTTCACATGAGTTCAGGATGAGACATCTAAAGTAAATACTGCCACCTTGTGGCTATTAGAAGTCCCCCGTTTTTTTTTTCGATTTAGAGGAAACTGTCTGATCGACAGAAATCAAACATAATCTGCTTTTTATCCTCTTGCTCTAATGATCCCCTGATACCATGTGAATCTCATCACAGTCGCAGATGCTGCTGAACTTTTCAGCTCATGTTTGCGTCTGATCTGTGATCTCTGTCAAATAGAAGAAAAAAAATTAATTTATTTAAACGATCAGTCTTCCAGTATAGTGCTTAACTGTGCTTTTGTTAGATGTGTACATGCTCCCAGTTCTTGCAGTGTGTCTGTGTTGACTGTTGTTTGCTTGGGGGTTGGGTTGGACCCTGAACTGTCTTTCTTGGTGACTGATGGGCTTTGTCTTTTTCTCCTTCTCTGATGCTCACTCTGTCGGCCTTCCTGCCCTTTTCTCCGCTGGCTTTCAGTGTCTATCGCTCCTCCTCCTCCCCCCATGCCCCAGCTGACTCCACAGATACCTCTGACTGGCTTTGTGGCCAGGATGCAGGAGAGCAGTAAGTGAAAAGGCTAAGACACACACACAGCACTTTCCTCGTTACCTGCGCCAACTGTTCCAACTCCCAAACACAGAGCATGCACTGTGTGTTCATCCTGTTTAATACGTCCTCTTCCAAAACTGAACTGATTCTTACTAGATTCCACTCATTATGTAAGCTTCTATTAGGCAACTTATAGTTTAGTATCTTTGTTTCTGCAGCTACAAATCTACACTACTATAGAGGTATAATACAGAGTACTTGTAGCACTATAGAGTTACGCTAAAGTCATTGATGATGTTTAGGGTAAAACGTGCCAAAGGTCACCACTCTCTGCTGTCCCCTCTGATCCAAAACCTGCCATATGCTCATTTATTGAAAGGGAACTAATATATTAATGGTAAACTTCACTAGAATAGCTCTGGATAGTTTGCTGATACCACAAACTATTTATTTTATAGTGGCCTGTATTGAAACTCCTTGATTCACACTTTGTTAGCAAAGCAAAGACCTTTACTAGTCCCTAAGGACCCCAAAGCGCTTTACACATCCAGTCATCCACCCATTCACACACACACATTCACACACTGGTGATGGCAAG